CGTGACTTCATGCCTTCTCGGCATCTGTATTGTGAGATCTAAACATTACCGGAGAAAACAAACTAAACCAATGAACAGGCCTAATGTTATATTTATTATTGCAAACTGTAAATGGCGATTTTATTATTGTTGCCATCTTAAATGTAGCTAAATTACTTTAAAGAAGCAACATGTAAAACTGACAGCCAACTTTAAGACAACACAATGGGAGACAAAACACTAAATGGTATATCCATAGAATACGGAAAAAAAAAAACTACCATGTTAGAATTCTATAGACAGCAAAGCAGATATTTTTCAAGAATGAAAGTAAAATAAAAACATGTAGAGACTAACAAAAACTGAGATACACATCACCAGCAGGCCCATATTAAATAAAATACTTTAAGAACATATTTTAGCAGAATGAAAATATTCCTACACAGAAGACCAAAGAATTAGGAAGGAAAAAAGAGCAACAAAAATGTCAAATATATGGAAGTCCCCCACTTCAAAAAATATTTACTTTAAAAAATATTAATGTCTTGTCAGGTTTAAAATATATAATTAAAATACACAACTGTAACACCTAAATAAATAGGGGATGAATGGACTTACAGGATACTAGAGCCCTGGCCAGGTGGTTCAGTTGGTTGGAGCATCATCCAGTAAACCAAAAGAGGTTGCACGTTAGATTCCTGATCAAGGCACATACCTAGCTTAGGAAGAACTCAGCAAGAAGAGCATATGATGACAACTATAAAATCACATTGAATGGTAAATTTAAAAATCTGAGCAGCCCTAGCTGGTTTGGCTCAGTGGATAGAGCATCGGCCTGTGGACTGAAGGGTCCCAGGTTTGATTCTGGTCAAGGGCACATGTCCGGGTTGCAGGCTTGATCCCATCCCCAGTAGAGGGCATGCAGGAGGCAGCTGATCAATGATTCTCTCTCATCATTGTTTCTACCTCTCTCTCTCCCTCTCCCTTCCTCTCTGAAATCAATGAAAATATATTTAGAAAAATAAATAAATAAATAAAATAAAAATCTGAGCAAATGAAAAGACATCCATCTTCTTAGATGGGATAATTGAATATTAAGAAGCTTCTTAATATCATAAAAATGTAGAATTAGCCAAAACCGGTTTGGCTCCGTGGATAGAGCGTCGGCCTGCGGACTGAAAGGTCCCTAGTTCGATTCCGGTCAGGGTCATGTACCTGGGTTGTGGGCACATCCCCGGTGGGGGATGTGCCGGAGGCGACTGATCGATGGTTCTCTCTCATCAATGTTTCTGACTCTCTATCTCTCTCCCTTCCTCTCTGTAAAAAAAAGTCAATAAAATATAAAAAAAAAAATGTAGAATTAAAAAGCAAGTTAAGCCCTAACTGGTTTGGCTCAGTGGATAGAGCATCAGCCTGCGGACTGAAGGGTCCCAGGTTCGATTCCAGTCAAGGGCATGTGCCTTGGTTGTGGGCACATCCCCAGTAGGGAGTTTGCTGGAGGCAGCTGATTGATGTTTCTCTCTCATCGATGTTTCTAACTCTCTATCCCTCTCCCTTCCTCTCTGGAAAAAAACCAATAAAATGTATATTTTTTTAAAAAAAAAAAAAAGCAAGTTAAATTTGTGTTCCTAAAAGAGAAAAGGAACATTAGGTAAATGCTGAGGAAATATGAATGAATGATATATGGATTGTAGTTAATGCTAACGCATCAATATGGATTCATTAACTGTAACATACATCATACTAATGTAAAATGTTAATAGGGGAAATGGTAGAGAATATATGGAAACTGTTCTACCTTCACAATTTTTCTGTAAATATAAACTTCTAAAAATAAAGTTTATTTTAAAAAGCATGTTTATAAGACAATCAGGTAAGTTTTCAATAACACAAATGTAATTCCAATTAAATGGATAAAAGTATATTGAAGTTTAGAGTGAAAATACCCAGTAAAACAAATAAATGAATGAAAAAGAAAGAAGATATACTAGAAAGCCACTTTAATTAAATCAATATGGAACATTACTCTAGGCATATAATCAGTAGAACAGAGAATCCAGAAATAAAACCCAGTTGATATGAGATTTTAATATATATGACAAAAATGTATTTCAATTCAATGGG